TCAAAAAAAAAAAAAAAAAAAGTGTATAAGAAAAGCATAAGTGGACAAATCCTAAATCTTCCAGAGGATATCTATTTGCAAAATAAAATATTGGGATTTCAAAGCAAAACTATCACGAAATAAAATCCAGGCATACTTTGTAATAGTTATTCCAAATTATGTCTTAGGAAAATTTAAAAGATTAGTTTTTAAAAATGCTCTTCCTAAATGTTAATTGCTTTTTGATGATATTTTTAGGTAGATAATAACTTCTAAATTTTTGAAAAAAATGGATATATGTAATTTAGTATTTTTAAGAACTGAAATCATGATGTGAAAGAATTCTTATTTTATCTTTTGATGAAGCTCAACATAATCCCATTTAATATTGCAATGTTTCACTTTTGCCCTACTCCAATCTGACACAATGTTTTTTCTCTGCTCTACCTTTTTCTTTTTCTATAAGTTTCAGTAACACCCCTTTGATATTTACAATCTCACCGTATCTCCAGTATTTGTCTCCCCTATCTGTGCTATTTACTGTTGTGATAAGATCTTCAAAAAGGCCTGAAACTTTTTTGTTTTGTTATTGCCCTTTAGAAGGTGCACACACATACACTAGGTTCTCAATAAGTGTCTGCAGAATTAATGCATGAATGATGGAATTAATGAATTTCATCTATCTCAATGTATCAGACTCCAAAGGGCTAGGGCATGTGCTATTAAAATAATACCAGGCACCAAAGGTTGAACACTGTTTGAAAGATACTATCTACGTTACTTCATCTAATCTTTGAAATCATCATGCCAGGCAGGTATTTTTCTCATTTTATTTTTATTTTATTATTTATTTACTTACTTACTTTTGGCACCAGGGACTAAACTCAAGACCTTGCACTTTCGAGGCCAGTGGCAGCACCACTGAGCTAAATCCCCAGCTTTCCCCTCATTTTAAAACTGAGGTACAATTGTGGGCCAAAGAGACTGTCTTCCCACAGTAAATGCCAGGGCTACAACATGAACAATTCCATGCTTTTAAAAAATACTCCTGCTAACATAGCCTGCTTTGAAACAAATGTTTCTTTGAAACTTCGGCTTCTGTTTCTGGCTTCATTGTGAGCTGGTTTTGTTTTGTTTTGAGACAGACTCTCCCTGCACAGTCCAGGCTGGCCTGGAACCTTGTCTCCTGCCTCGGAGCCCCAAGTGCTGGGATCACAGGCATATGCCCCGCGTCCAGCTTCATTGTGACATTTTGAGAGCCCATTTTTTAAACTTCTTTTCATTTTTGAGTGGACGGTATATTTCCATGGCTCATGCAGAACAACATTATAAAAAGGCACTCATTGCTGATTTGGCTCTCACCTGGCCCTGCTCCCAGACAACCCTTTCCAGAGGTTCCACTGTTACTGTGTCAAAAACAAGAACAACTAACTTGTATTTTTATCTTCTCCCTTTATTACACATTGGGTAGCTGCTACCTACAAGAGCTTATATTTTCAAAGTGGGTGGATTTCAATGTGGTAAATACATTTTCTTTCCTTTGAAAGCCTGTGATATGAATCACTGACTAATCTTGGCCTAACAACTCCTGTAAGTGAGGGAAATCTTCATGTGACATTTGACTGACATTATTAGTAATTTACAACTTCAAAGGAAGTCAAATTATGAAGCTATCAGTAGGTAGGGTTCTTGAATTACTGTTACTTTAACACACTAATTAAAATGTCTACTGCTGCTATTTTGAACATTAAAGATGTTTAGTCTTAGTACTAAGAGTTTAGGGACTTTTGAGTTGAAATGTTACAGCAACATGGAAAACCAGGAGTATTGCAAGTTTCAACTTTCAACTGTTATTTTTACCTTTCAGCGCTCTGAATCAAACCAGGAACCTTACCCATGCTAAGCAAGCACTCTCCCTCTGAGGTGTTCACCTAGCTTTGAACTTTCGACTCTTTGAAGTACTACCATTAACAGTTTCCCCTAGAACATAAACACATTATTGTTCTTCCCAGCACAGAGACTTTCTGCTAAAAATAAGCCAGGTTTCTAGATAGTAACCTTCAATGCCAAGGTCTTCATCAGTCCTTCAGCATATTCTGGGCAAGGCTGGCTTCATGGCCATGTGGACTTCTACACTCACATAGTGCCCTGTGCCCAGAAGGACTTCATGTGCTGGGTTTGGTGGTTCATGGCTGTAATCTGAGCACTCTGAGAGGCGGAGGCAGGAGGATGGTACGTTCTAGGCCGGCCTGGACAATTTAGTGAGACCCTGTCTCAGGGGAAAAAGGGAGGGGAGATATAGCTCAGTGTGAAGGGCTTGAGTTTAATCCCCAATATTGCAAAAAACAAACCAAAAGACAAAAAAACCCTCATGCTTGGTTTAACGATTTACTCTTTACTCTCACTGTCTTAAGATTCTTAACAATTTTTGACCAAGGAGTCCATATTTTCATTTTACACTGGTAGATAGTTCTGTTGTGGGTTATTGTTATGACTTATATCTAGTTATCTCTCCAAAGCCTCACACACTCATAGGTGGGGCTTTTGGGAGTGACTGGATCATGGGTGTGTGATACTGGATTAGTCAGTGATTGCTTTAGCATAGTTCTGGGTGTGGATGATGGATTTATGATGGAGAGGGAAGACCCATCCTGGTTGTGGGTGGCATCAACCAAGAGGCTTGTAGCCTGGAGGGAATAAAAAGGAAAGAAAGAAGGCTCACTGCTTCTTGCCTGCCGTGGACCGATTCTACTCTGCAATGCCCCCTACCATGCCACCCTGCCTTGGAGTCAGCCAACTATGAACTGAAACCTCTGCAAACTGTGAACTACAATAAACCTTTCTTTTTTTAACTTGTGGCTGTCAGGTATTTTGTTCCAGCAGTAAGAAAATACCTAATACAGTTATGAAATAGACATCAGTCTGCCCTCACTTGATTTTAGTAGTAACAGAAGTTAACTTATTGAATTATTCTTTTATCCCCACTAACATAGATAAGAAAGAAAATCAAGTCTTACTGTAACATTTCTTTGCTATAACAATATGTCTTATAGTTGACTTATTTTTATATTGCTTTCTACATCTAAGTTTATTATATATTGTGTTTACTATAGACACTGGTGGTATTCTTCCCAGTGAGATTCATCTTTCTGGACTGTTATGTTGTAGATTAAGTATTCTGAGGTTCTTGTAAAAGCATTCAAGTGTAATTGGTTCATAAACTGCTAAAGAAGGAACTGTCAGCTAACTTCATTACAGACCTTAAGGCTCCTTCTAATACAATCTTAGAGGTCTAGTTTTTAAACTCACTAAGAAAGTATGCTAGGAATAACCATCCACCTAATTCAAAGGCCATTTCTGCCAACAAGGTGGTATTTAGCGCCTGCTGTAATTATAGTAGATGACATTCATTCTATGAGCTAGGTTCCAGTGTCTCCAGAAAAAAAGTTAGATATAAAGGAACCACTCTCAGGAACTCCTGTAACTCAGAATGCCTTCAGTTCCACCAGCGCATTAGTAAACACGCGTACAACCAGAATGCAGGAAAAGGCGATTCACAGATTCCCATCAACTCTGCCCTCCTCCTCCATCCTAGTGGGTCTGCACACGTCTTCCACCTTGCCTCACAACTTGGTGCCCCATCCTCCTTCCCTTTATGTGTCTCATTTCAGATAGGGTCTTGCTTTGTTGCCCAAGCTGGTCTCAAACTCCTAGATTCATGCCATCCTCCTGCCTCAGTCTCCCCAGTTGCTGGGACTACAAGGAAGTGCTACTACTGGCTTGAGAAGAGACTTTCTTTCTTTCTCTTTTTTTTTTGGTACTGGGGATCAAACTCAGGACCTTGCGTTTTCGAGGCAGGCGGCGGAACCACTGAGCTAAACCCCGGCCCGAGAAGAGACTTTCTTGATGCTTCTGGAGGCTGATTCAGTTTTTCTACCCTTTAAATGTGACATAGTACTGGTGTTACTGTGTAAGAGAGGTTAACTTCTGAACAGATTTGCAAGCTGGGTTTGCTGGTGCATGCCTGTGATCCCAGTATTCTGAGAGGCTGAAACAGGAGGATCACAAATTCAAGCCCTGTCTTGGTAAGACCCTGTCTAAAAATAAAAAGGGCTGAGGATGTAATGCAGTGCTCCCTGGATTCAATCCCCTGTACTGCAAATAATAACAACAACAAAAAAGAAACTAAAACCAATACTAAAACAAAATAACCAACAGCTTTTCGGGGAGAAAACAGGTAACCAGGTGACTTTAGCTAGAAATGTTGGACCATGGTGGGGGAGTCTGATTGACTGTAACAAGGACTGCATTAGGGATTTCAACTCACTAGACTCTCCCCTAAGTCCATATTCTCTCTGGTTTTTCTCTACCCCACCCTTGAAAGAAAATCAAATCAGAGTAGATGATTTACTACCATACGTGCTCATAGAAAGAGCCACTAAATTCACTTCCTTAAAAGTTCTGGGGCTGTGCTCTTCTTTCACATACAAGACCCCAAAGAACTGGCTCGGGGGTTGGGGATTTAGCTCAGTGGTTTCGCCACCTGCCTCGCAAGCGCAAGGACCCGAGTTCGATCCCCAGTACCAAAAAAAAAAAAGAACTGGCTCAGAAAATAAAACACGCAAGCTTCATTTTTCTTCAGGAATAGTGTTTCCCTTTTTAGAACAGGCATTTTCCTATCAGTACATTTCTTGCCAAATGGCCTTTTAGAAATTACAAGTAAGAGAGATGATAAATGGAGAGAATGGGCAAAGTTGACAACAGTGCTTAACAGGAACATGCCAAAATGTTGTTACAGTAAACCATTCAGTTTTGTGTTTTGTGTTTTGTGTTTTTGTTTTTGAGGTGCTGGGGGTCAAACCCAGGGCCTCGCAAATGCCAGGTGAGGGTGCTACCAGAGCTACATCCCTGGCCCATCGTTCCTCTTCTCCCAATAAACATCTACGTGATATAATGTATGTAAGTATAAATCACAATGGCACACAGAAAAACTGCTACACTGATAAAAAGTAGTCCAGATGAAATGAACAAAAGATAACTGATTTATTTACTGGAAAAAGTTATGCATTACATGATATTCAGTTGGTAACATAAACCAAGATATAAGAATCAATATATTGGCTTCTGGTTGCTTTCTTAGCTTTCCCAGCCACCAAGTGCATGAGCAGATCACACAGATACAAGCACATCTTCCACAGTTCTCTCAGAAGACATTCACTGAGGATTGTCTGCAACAAAAAAGTGAAAGCAACAAGTAATAATAAATTCAAAAGAACTTTTTTTGAATTTAAAATAAATGCTTGTGTCTTTGAGAATGCTTCCTTTGAAATTTGGATTTTTAAAAATAATTAACAAAAAAAGTTTCTTAGATCAGTCTTTTAGTTATGTTTTCATATGGTATTATCATTAGGTGGAAACACTTCACATCACATAGCCCCAAAAGGCATAACAATAAAACTGCAATTAAATGTAGGAATAGCTGAATTTTTACAACAATAATCATACAGTGTACAAATCAGGGCTGGCCAGACATGACATAAATGTTAATACCGCAAAGAAATATAGTACTACCAGAATCATGTTTGGTTCACCACATATGCATAATCATGCAAATAAAAACACTGAGTAGATTACAAAACTGTCATAAAAGATTTTCAAAGAATTAACTGACTCTTAACAGTCAAACCATTGAGCTTAAAAATTCTGTGGCAATAATGTCAAAATGATGTATTTCCTCTCCAATTTGCCGAGCAATCATTATCTACAAATCCAGTGATGCTTCATTCTGTATTTCCATTATCACCAAATATTTCTTTTTAAACAAACCAATGACATTTCCCTTTACTTTATTGTTCTCTGACCTTTATTTTAAAAATGACTTTTTGAAAAGAAAAGCATATATTCACACTGAAGTGTTAGATTTACTTCTCACAAGTGTTCTATAGTAATTAAACTCCAATCTCAGAAATAATCTGGCTCAGCAGTTTATCCAGGCTTTGGTTTAAATAGGTCAAATTTTAAATAACTCCAAAGGAAAGGGATAAAAATGCAGTGGGAATAAGAGCCACGCACTCAACATGGAGAGGAGAGCAAGTGTAGGCGCAATGTCCTGACATTCCTAGTGGAGAGGTCACAAGAGAAATAAGATTTCGAAGGTGTCTGTAGTATGGACATAGAAAAGCTTACCTGCGTGAGCTATCTCATGCAAACATCTTACATCGTACTCTTGCCTTACACGAAAGGCAATGAATTGGTCCTCGTCCTCTTCTTAAATAGAATATCATTTCTCGAAAATCCTCCATCGGGGAACATATCTTAATATGACATACCTCTTTCAGTTGATGAAAGAGATGTCTAGGGAAAATCAGCCGTTAACATAACAGGATCATGCAACCGATGCCATATATCAGGGATGATGGCAGTCATGGTGGCATTTAAATAAAGATGAATTTAATTTCAGACAGTATTGCAGACAATGGAAAGGGTCACTCAGGAGCTGGGCTGATCTTGTATGTTCACAGAAATCGAATATAAGGTAAAAAGTTATGCATCAGTATCATCCCTGATCACACTATTATCGTAACTCCAGTTCAACAGCTTCCTGAAAAATTATGTTCCCTTTACTTGAAAACTGAACTGTAAATTTTCTGTAATCTTAATTATAAGGATTTTCTTAAAGCACTCTAGTTTCTAAGCAAATAAACAAAAAAGGAAAGCAAAGTTTTAAAAGCTGTGAATCTCAGTCTAAGAGTTTCTTTTAAACCTAGATGTATCTGAAATATCAATGCATTCTCCTGTGTTGTCCGCGGGTTGAAGCAGCCATGGTCCCTACTGGAAATGCAGCAGCTTCCCTGATGTGTCTTTCTGAGAGACAGATTCTATTTCTTGGCTGATTATGACAATAAAATTTTATATTCCTATCTCAGTAGAAAATAGATTTCATTTCCTCATTTTCATGTTTCATAATCTTTATTGGAGACCTGGAGAGGATTTTAATACCATATTATCAGGACATTTCCATATTCTTAGCTGGTTTATTGGACCAATGTTTCATGCTTGTTTGAAGCAGCAGGTCTTCGCTGCCCAAGTATATTGTCCACAGCGTGGACAAAGCAAATGTTAAAATTGAAGATCCTTTTCAGTAGAGATAAAAGTCAGGAGGCATTTGCCACGTCTTCTCCCTGCACAAGGGACTGCATACCTTTCTGTTTCTCAAGTATTCCTGAGGACATTTCCTTTTTAGACTCAAACTTGAAGCTTTTATAGTAAAGCTGCTACACTGTGGGATAAGGATATAATGATATATAACTAGAATGAAAAATAAAACCAACAAGCTTTTTTTAAAAAAACAAAAATCTTGGAAAAGTTAAAATTGCTATCCCATTTCAAAGGATAAAATATTGGAAGATTTTTTTTTTTTTGGTACCGGGGATCGAACTCAGGTCCTTGGGCTTGTGCAGCAGACAGTGAAACCACTGAGCTAAATCCCCGGCCCTCAAAGGACAAAATATTGACTAACCAGAACTTTCTTTTTAATTTTAAAATAAAAGAAACAAGAATAATAACATTATTTTAAGATATCTTGCCACTAGGGCCGGGGATTTAGCTCAGTGGTTTCGCCGCCTGCTGTGCAAGTGCAAGGAACTGAGTTCGATGCCCGGTACCAAAAACAACAACAACAAAAAAGATATCTTGCCACTTAATACTTACTAAACCACCAATAATATTCAATTTTTAAAAAACAAATCTTCCTTATAATTATCAATTCTGATGATTAATTTTCCATTGCTAAAAACTCTATCCTAGAGTTAATATAAATCCTTCAGCCTGAAGACTTCCTAATTCTGGTCTTAGTGCTATCTATAGCTTTTTCTATCATTTGTTCAATTCTCTTTGCTGGAAGGTTACTATTGTACTCCTCTTCCTTGGGCTAAATACCTATAATTTCTGAATCTTAATTATTCAATAACTCTGTCTCCTCAAAGTTTTCCAATTTTTTAAAAATTCAGAATTGGACGTGTGAAAGGGATCTAATATAACATCAATTGATTGGGTAGAGTCATCCAGTGTTTTTTGCCAACCCCTAAGAACTCAGGCTAAAGGCCATTTATTGCTTCTTTTAACTTTGCTACTATTTTGTACCTAAGAAAAATCTTCAGTAGGAAAGCATTTCTGCACCTTAACTATTCTTTTTAGCATTGTGATTGTGCTTACTTTTAAAAACTGCTTGCTTACTTTGCTAACTGCTCTGGCTGGTTACCTGCCATCTTCGATCACCATGTCTTCGATCAGGCGCCAGTATACTCGGCCTGCACATCTGCGGATCATTTTTCTTCTCCACACGCATCTTCAATTAATCTTACTGAGGTTCATCCTCTTTGGTTCTCACTAGTTCTTCACTTTTTCAATTTCCTTTTGGATCCTTATGTTATCTTTACAGGTATTGATTTTTACTGCCACTACACATACCTATTCATTTAAAATGCCTATAAATAAATATAAATATGGCTTAGTTTAAACACTATACTAAATGATGGGGAAATACATGGTATTCTCTCTTACGACTTAGGTACTATCACCTAATTTTGTGCTGACAGGGAAAATTTATTTCCAAGTTTCTATATCTTTTTGAGAAAATTTTGCTAAAATTAATATTTTATACAAGTAACACTTCAAAACAAGCATTTCCACTCTGTTCAGAGAAGCTAGTTTATAATAGATTTAATGACAGATTTTGTATTGGAAGAAATAAATGTTTTGCACACTCCTCGGCTTTTCACTGAGTCATAAACCAGAGGGAGGGAGGGAGAGGGGGAGGGAGAGGGGGAGGGAGGTAGGAGAACGCAATGAGCCTTGTAGAGAGGAAGAACCTGCTCCAGTCACACAGCCTGGTGGCTGGGTTCCCATCCCAGCAACGAGTGACAGGCAACGGAAGGATGTTCTGAGGTACTTGGTAAAAAGGCATGTTTTCCCTCAGGCACAAAGTCAACTTAGCAGCTATGCCATTTCTCAGGTCCAAACACAGATGACTCCCAAAGGAAGGGAAAGAGCGGGGTGGGTCAGCTTTCTTTTACTGAACTCACTCAGTGAAGCCCAGTGTGTCGCTAACACTGGTACCCAGCAGGTGCAGCGCCTGTAGAGTGAGGACCGTGTGCAGGACGGCAAGGCAATACAGGTAGGAACAAGCATGTTACATGCTACGTTAAGGACTACCATGAAGGTCTGTTTTGCTTCTGCATTCTGACCTGAATCTCTATCTTGGTGGAGATTTCAACTGTTTAGGGCCAAGTTGCATAAGAAATGACACTGATGAAGACAGCACTCATGTAAGGAACACAAAAGCTCTTGGTTGCTTTGGTAACAGTGACCCTACCTGACGGGTGATGACTGTCCAGAGCTCCTGTGTGTACTTGGTGACTGCCCTGTGATGGACACCCCACAGTGTACCACCCTCTACTGCTCAGCTGAGCAGCTCCAGGGTCGCCACGATAGTGCCCTGCTGTTAACTGTTCTGTGTGCTGACAGCGAGGGCCATATTCATTCGGAAGAGAAGTTGCTGACACATGAAAAGGTGAAATCTTTCTGGTTTTAAATAAGTTAAGGCTACTGACAAAAACAAGGAATCGGGGCTAGGAGCCCTTGAGAGGGAAGGAGCCCGAGAGACTTCTCAGCTTGAGTAGCTGTCTTCCTTGTTTGTCAGATTACGTGCAAAATAAATTTTGCTATGAAAATCCACTGCCTTAAATCAAGTCATAAAAGTTATCTAGCAGAATCTGTAAATTAACTAGGACCATGTCTTATCATCAATATAATATAATGATTTGTAGGCACCTGAGTGTTTGTCAGAAGTAGACAATGAGCTAAGGTTTATTATCTAAATTTTTTTATGGCAAAGATGATCCATTATGAAAAAAATCTAACAACAAAACATACAATTTTAATCAAAATCTGAACACCGTCTATGTAAATTAACTAGCCAAGGCTACCTTACATCTATCTATGTGTAGATTTGTTTTTGATACTGTTTAGCAGGAAAGACTCATAGTAGGACCCTGAATTTGGAAGAAAAAGCAGTTCTGGTCACTAAATAAACAGCATTTCTTCCCTTCAGATGGTTTAGCTCTCTCTGGCATCATCGCACACAGCCACACACATGAAGAAGCAGCACCAGTGTGTCTACTCAATGCAACCTACAAACTTTGGAGTGCCACTGAAGCTTGAATAAGTCCAGGAATCATAACTTAGACTCTTTCTTAGACCTACTTAATGATGTCCAGTGAGGAATTCTAGTTAAAACAAAAACCAAAACCAGCAGTTAATCAGCTACTGATTAGAAAATAAGTGCATAAACAATATCACTGTAGCAGCAAAAGACAGTTATTGTTAACATTCTGATGCACCTCATTTATCATTTTGTGCAAGAAAAATAACCATAGTCTGGCCAGTTCCAGACTTCAAACTAAATTAAAACTCATAGTGAATCGAGCAAACTATGCTTATTTGAAAATAAATTAAATTCATCTCTTACAGAAATTATTCTCATAGACATTAATCATATAGCAAATAAAGTACAAAACTAAATATCAAAGACAAAAGAATATGTTGCAGAATGTGGTGTGAGGACAGCTGATCTTGCAATATTTGTATTTTACATCGTCTTAGGTCTGTCTTACGCTATGGAGGTCGAGCTAGCCATCTGAGATACGCGCTTCCTCTCTTTCTTTTCTAGTTTGACTGAACTGTAGCTATTGGATTGCAGTTTCTCTGTGACGCAGAGAAACCGCGAAATGTTTTATCACCCCAGGTCTGCGCTTCGTGTAAGTCTTCTCGGCATTCTCTCCTCTTCCACAGTGACGGACGCAAGTCCACCTGCACATCTACTGGCCGAGAAGAACACATCGCTGGATCTTGGGCAGTGTCCTGTGTGGCTACAGAACCTTCAGCCAGACGTGTTGGTGATGGAGACTAGGGGCAGGGCGGCTTGGCCAGACAGTGGAGCGGGGCGCACGGGGAGCCTGAATGTGGCTGCTCCTCAGGGAGGGCGGCATCAGGACTGGGAAGGAGAAAGAGCTGGTCAGCAGGAGGCTGCAGACAGGGCACTGGGACAGTCCATGGGCCCCACAAAAGAACAGAGATTCAGCACAGAAAATGGCCCAAACCCAAAGCATGCCAAGACAACTGCGGTTTTCAAAAGTAGGCATCAAAAAAAGAAATGCTATACGAAGCCTTCCTCGAAAGTGGTGTTTTTTCACTTTTTGCGGCTCTAAAGCAGGCAGGTCTCTAAACCAGGGCCTTGTACCCGGTGGGCCAGCACTCTCCCCTGACCTACACCCTGGCCTCTGGATTAGTTTGTTTCCAACTCTCATGTGCATGCACATAACCTGGGCATTTGGGGGAAGGCAGACTGGGATTTAGGAAGGCTGGGATGGCCCAAGACCCTGCATTTCTGTCTCCCTCTCCTGGGCCCAGGAAGTGTGCCCAGTATTCTGTGTTCTCCAGAGCCCCAGATTCAGGAGGACAAGGCAGGTGCTGTGGGAGTCCAATGTGCTCTCAGGGGCCCCTCTCTTTGTGCGCTTGGTGGTGTAAGAAACGCTAAAGTGGCCTTTGGGAGGCCAGGCCACCTCTGAGAGACTCTGATTTAAATGAACCTGGCTCTGGTCTTGGTGAATAACCCTGAAGGATAAAGAAGTAAAGTTGCTGAATTTCCTAGGGTGCAACTACAAAACTTGTCTGGGGTGAGATCTTTTAAAATACAATTAGCTGTGGGGAAAAGACACCAAGGGCATTTTTAGTCGAAAGGTTGGGTATTTTTCTAAAAATTGATATGTTCCTGTATATATGAAATTCAGTACCATATAATTCATTTCTTCCAGGAGTGTCTGACAGAACTACTTGAGGTTTATTTTATTTATTTAACTAGTTTTTGAAAGTAATATTATCACTGGAGTCATTAAAAATCAGTACTAAGCAATTTATTTTTTGTTTATTTATTTGTTTGGTACTGGGAATTGAACCCAGGACCTTCAGGACCTTTGCACTAACCTGCACCTTTTAATTTTTTAAAGCTTTGATACAGGGTTTCACTAACTTGCTCTCGTGGGACTTGAACTTGCAATCCTCCTGTGTCAGCCTCCCAAACTGCTAGGATTATAAGCATGTGGTACTGCTCCCAGTAAAACAAAATTTTTAAAAAAAATCTTTGGTACTGAAATCATTCATGTGTCTCTTGCAAAATCATAATTATGTAAAATATATGGTCTGCCTAAAGTTTATCTTACTTTCCAAGCTCTCTGAACTGTTGTAATTTGGAGGGGGGGATACTGGGGATGGAACCCAGGGGAATTTTATCACTGAGCTAGAACCCCAGCCCTTTTTATTTATTTTTTACTTTGAGGTAGGGTTTTTACCTAGTTGCCCAGGTGGGATTTGAATTTGCAGTCCTCCTGCCTCAGCCTCCCTCAGTGCTGGAATTAGACTTGTGCCACCATGCCCTCTGGAATTACTGTGAACTAAATTTAAAAGGAGACACTTTTGCACTGATTAGGATAACTAGTGGTAAAAATTATTTTCCTGCCTATTTTAAAATGTGGTAGGGTAAACATGGCATAATGGGAGCTTCCGCAAAAAGTCTAATAAAACATGAATGGTTTTATTCATTGATTAAAATTAATGAGTTGGGTACTATACACTTGCCTGTAACCCCAGCATTCAGGAGGATCACAAGATCAGGTCCAGCCTGGACCCCAGAGTGAGACCCTGCCTCAAAAAACCCCCTCAAAATAAATAAATTAACTAAAATACACCTTTTAAAATTGGAAGAAAATAATGGACAGTAAGAATCCTCCCTGACCTTCCCGACAGTCAGACGACAGGAAACAGAGGGTGACCACTAAGTCACCTTACAGAAAAGAGCTGTGAGCTTCATGGAAAAGTCTCTGTGAGAAAAAGCTGATTTTTTTTTTAGGGAATTAAACATGTCATGCAACGTGAGTTCTAGTAAGTAAGCCAGGGCAGTCACGTTATGCAAGGATACATTTTTGAAGCTCTTGTGTAAGTCAGTGCTCTTCTTGATAAAGGGAGATAAGAATTTACTTGTGGGCAGCTGACATGTGGCAAGAGCTCACACAGACTACAGCTCGCTTGGCCCAACACCCAATGTGACATCGTTCATTATGACTTACAGTTATTTTCACTATTTCAGAGTTAAAAACATTATATATCACAGTATTGCTATCTTAAATTTGCACAAAATGCAATCACTCTGTATAAATTAGGCATGTAAGAAACATTCTTAGTTTATGAGTTAAGAAATTATTACAAGTTAAATATGAGTGTTTGCTAAATTCCAACCATTTAAGGTATGAAATGAATTCACTTTCAGTCTCAATTGCTAAAGATCTTCAGGAGCCCATTTGTTATCCACCTTTGCTAGCGACAATTTTACTTTTCATAGGAAGATCATACTGTAAACTGGGCTTAGGAAACTGTTACTAAAATAGGAAGCAGGATATATCTTCAGAGAGTCTTTTTTCTCTTTCCTTTTCCAAGCCAACAACTACTTGACAGAAATGGAGAGATGCCAAAGACCAAACTTCTCTAGATATTTAAATACTACCTCCAAGACTGCATTGCCTTGAGGTCTCCTCTCTCTTGTGATATTATTCTCTATAGAAACCATATTAGTTCTGCAGTAAAACCACTTTTCAGTGTGAACATTGTTGGCTCAGTCCCAGTGCTGTACAGTGTTGGGTGAGTTATCACGGAATCACTTGGTGAAAAGTATGTATGGGAAAATTCTAATGTGAGACCTTTCAATGTGACAACATGGTGTTTTGTTTTAAAAAATGATACGCCATAGAAGTTTCATGACTATGGAGCTGTAGTGCAGCTCAGTGGTACAGCACCAGGCTGGTGTGCACAAGTCCCTGGTCTCCATCCCAAGACCCACACAAAATATCCCCAAGTTACGTGAAAACTGAGGGAAGTAAGAATGATTTTTTAAAACGAGAAACAGAGAACCCCTGTTCTGAAATCACTCAACATTTTGAGCAGTTTCTCATGGAACAAATGTCCCCTTTGGAAAGTAAGAGTCCCCATGAGTGGTTTTAACACTTTGCTCCTCCCAGTTGTGGAGAACATGGGATCTGTTCCTCCACAGGGCCGCCTGGCATTGGGCCTCTGGACAGAGTTGTGTTCAGGTATGACTGCTGCGTCGCTTCACCTCCCTAAACTTGCTGGGGAGTAACAAGTGGGCCCCGGATGTGGGGAGTTGTAGCAGTCAGTACCTCAGAAAAGGAGCATCAGCCTTGTCTAGCACACAGGGAGACTTCTCAGGTTGGCTGTGTTTTCTGCCAGCAAGGAGCCTCAGGGTACTGAGGACCCAGACTTTGAGCACCTTTGGACAGGAGTCTTTTCAGGTCCATATGCATTTAATTATTATTATTATTTTTTCTTTTTTGCATGGACTGCAATGAACAGTGGGTTCTGTAAGTGCAATTGAATTTGTAATTCATGAACTTGCTGCTTTTTATTCTCTCCTTGAAAATAGGGATTGAACCCAGGGCCTTTGCCACTGAACTATACCCACATCCTTTTTATTTTTTATTTTGAGACAAGTTGGGCCAAGTTGTCCACGCTGGGTTGGAACTTACAATCCTCCCGCCTCTGCCTCCCAGAGTGCTGAGATTATAGGCAGATGTGTGTCACCACATCTGGCTAAACTGGTTTTCTTTCAAGCAAATCATCCCTGTGGAGGCAGCAAGCAGTCTAAATTCAGGAATCTCAAAGGACTGGGGCATATAACTATTTAGTCAAGCATCTCAAAAGAAAATCAAGCTGAAATAAAATTATACAATGTGATAAAAAATACAGTGAACATTAACTTTTTAAAAAAAGAAATATATTACAGTAAAAGATACACTGCCATTGACCCCCTAAAAAAACCTCACCTTTGCTTTGAACGCATTTATCCAATCATTTTTGCCACTTGCTGAAGCACTTCTGAAATCTCTCTTGTGAGAGTCTTTAGCTGCACTATCCTGGCTGCCTCAATGTCTTCAATCTTTCAAAATGTTTACCTTTCATGGTCATTTTTGACTTTGGGGAAGAGCCAGAAGTGGCCCAGTGCCAGGTTTGGTAAAGAAGGTGTGTGAGAACATCGTAATGTTTTTAGGAGCCTGCCTTTTGGTTGGATGGCATTCAGCAACAGCATTCACTGTATCTTTGATCACACCTTGTAAAGACACTCAGGAAAGAGAACTTCCAGAACTGCTTCCAAAAGTGGCACGAATGATGGGGTGAGTGTGTTCAAAGTAACGGGAAGTATTTTGACAGGGATTAATGGCAGTGCATCTTTTACTGTTAAAAATTTTAAAAATTTAAACATTTACTGTAGATCATACCTCATAAAGTTAAAAATTTTTCCTTGCAGCCTTTCCATTTTCTATCTCACTGAAACACCTAGAAGTGTAGCCTTCTCTACCCTGGGCTCAGGCAAGTTAGGAAAGTTATGAAGGAGACTGTAGATCTTTGTCTTGTGGGTTGGTCAGGTACAAAGAGCTGTGAGTGCTGATAACAGACATCCTCACTGGGCCAGGCCAGGCCAGCCTGTAGCTCCTCGAGCTCCCCCAGTGCCCACTCCTCCTCGGCCTTCAAGTGAAGGTTCCGGCAGCATCTTAGCCACCAGGAATGACTTTGCAGGCTCTACAGACCGTGGGTGCTGGAGGTGGGACTCCAACCCAACCCTCAGACTCCAGAGCTCACACATTCTTTCATGTCTTCGATGCTCATCAGACATCTGCCATGGGGCTGGTCCCATCCCTGGCCTTGGCTGAGGGGCCACTCCTGGATGTTAAACATTACACTGTGGAATCCCAGAGATGGATCTGTACACTTGCGGTTATGTTCAGTCTCATAACTGAAATTACTCTAGAGTTGGTGGCCATTATTAAGCTGTATTAGCATGGCAGCAAGGGACAGTTCTGAAGTAAAAGCCCCGTTCCCATCAGTGATGGGGACACCCTGCCACCTAACAGCTGGCAGTGCAACTGGCTCCAAGGCCTGGGCACATTTCACCTGCGAGTCTGTGGCTGCCCAGACCCCAGTGGGAATGCCTGGGGTGGCCCATGCTCATGGGAAGCTTCTCCCAGGAGAAGCATGGTGGGCACACTCACATCCACGAGTGGACACAACCAGACTGCAGGAGCCAGGCAGCTGGTGAGGAAGAGGCCCTGGCCGGGAGCTGCAAGGCTGGGTCCACGCCTACTCAGGAGGCCAACTGGAACCCTAACTGTCATAAACTCCAGTTCCGGACCAGGGAGTAGGCAATCCTGCCTTCCACATTCTTCAGTTAGTCTCCCATAAGGGGCTTGATGGCCGAAAATGTTTATTTTTGAATGCCAATGACAAGGTTTTACTCCAGCCCTCAAATTCAGCTTTCATGAGAGTGCCTGAGTGCAGACAAAATGGAGACACTTATAAAGTTGTCCTGGTACAGACATTAATATACTGATATCTAATTCTTTATATTTGTTTGCCTGAGAAAGTATCTACAGGGCAAAAAGACAAAAGAAAATAGAAGAGTGGGACAAACATTCTACAAAGCCTGGGTGCTCCTACTGCAGGAGGTCTTGCTCCTAGAGGGAGAAAGAGGTCAGCCTGCTCCCTGGGAACATCAGGCTTCTATAACCCATCTTTGAAATAAAACGCAGTGAAACGGAACCACGTGTAAGGAGGGGAGCTGGGTGCAGCTCCGACATGCAGCTGGGGAAGGAGCAAGGATGGTACATTTACCTGGCAGTCGAGTAGTCTTGCCTCCTGGCTAGTTGTGAGCACTGTGGCGGTACGGAGGCAGCAGGCTGCTGACAATCTACAAGAAACTGATAAATTAGACATGTATACAACGCAATGACAGAGCAAGGTGTTAGTAACAGACACTAAGCGGCTGCCTGTGAGATTTAGTGAGGAATGCATTCACAGAAATGCCTGGACCCTGAGTGATGCCAACAGAAGAGACAGGCTTTTTTGTAATTAAAAAATTAGTGACACAAAATTAGTAGCAAGATTCCTCAAGTATGTTAGGACATATACAGCCATTCATATATGGTATTTTGATATCTCTAAAAACGAAGGATCTACTAATATAAGATGTTCATGTTCTGAACTGGAACATGACTAATTATTGGCTTAGCATGTGGATCTGTTATTCCCAAGCAGAACATATTCTGCTGGGCACACTGTCAATTCCTCAGGTAAATTGAGAGAGACATACAATAAATGTTTTCCTTGATTAAGAGAAGGATAGTGGACAAGAAAATCATCCAAAAATCAGTTTTTCTGAAAATCAGTTTTACATGTAGAAAACAAGAATTGCTAGTCAGAATCTAGCATCTTTATTATAAAGTAAATTGTTCATAACTTGGACTAGTGGAGAAAGCTAACCTGAATTAATGGGAATGTCACTTGGTTTTGTTTTTGCCATTTTAAAACAACATAATATGACCTATACTTGCCTAATAAAGTGCTAGCTAGGAAAAGTCCATGCAATAGCTGATCAGTAGGTTAATCATCTATGCCAAGAAAGACTGTGTGGTCAGGGTTCCAAATAAATCAAAGACCAGTCTGTTTACTGTTACCAGATTAACTGTACCAGAATCATTCAAAAGCCTGGTTAGAAATGCACTTTATGTCTGAGTAAAAAGATTGCAACTAAGTTAAAATTATTTGGACTTGAAAATTATTCTTAATTGAAGCATTTCCTCTCGCTAACTGCTTAGACCATGCATTTGCTTAGCAACTCCATTTCTCTATGTGTTATGTGGGTACATTTAAACCAAATTATCACAGATTCTGAATGTAGTGGGTATTACTTGTTTTAAAGACAATATATTCTCTATTATAACAAAACCTGCCTATATAATTCCTCAAAACCAAAATTCATAAAAGCTGCTGATGCTTTTATGTAAGGCCCTGGGAAATAAACTGAAACTGTGATGCAAAGTAGAATAGACTATAAGGCAGGCTGGACTTGAGGTTATTCAAAGAATATCATTACTGAAGGGAGCCTTTATATAGTGGTCTTTGTTGAAGAGTAACTTATTAATTACTTATTATTAAGGAGAATCAAAAAATAGGGTTCCTGCCGAGCAGCTGCTCTTCTGATGGTCATATTTAGTAGTCTTTCAAATAATTCTGTTTTCTCAGATTTGTTTTTTTCTCTTTTTAACTTCCATTTTGCAGCTTGAATAGCTCCGATGATTCCTTTTTGTAGAAACTCATGCGTTCCTTTGTCTTTTTAAAAAATCTTTTTCTGCTCCTTTGGTTTTTCCAATAGCTCTTCTGAGTGGGAATTTAGGCGTGTCTTGGCCTAATTTAGACAATTACTGCACTGTATTTTAGTTTAAGTCAAGCAGGTGTGTGCTGCCCTCCGGTGGTGTGTTTGGGTAAATGCAATGATGTGCACAAACGGCCAGGGCAGTGGACACAAACTCTTTCTAGGGCAGAGCAAGGGCCTCCGCGGAGCAGCAACCCCTAGAACCAGGGACCATGAAAATGCTTACTTTTTTTCATAACTCACATATGCAGAAATTTTTTTTGCCACTCGGCCATGGCCCATTCCTCATTCAAAACGTCCTTTGTGAAAAGTGAATAAAGCAGGCGATCAGGACCACCACGCAGTGTTAATGAGCTGCTCACTATGTGGTGGTTATTCTTTTATTTCTCCTTTTTGGTACTGGAGATAGAACCCAGGGCCTCCCTCTTGCCTCTGAACTACATCCCTAGTGCTTTTTAATTTTATTTTGAGACAGTCTCCCTAAATTGCCCAGGCTGGCCTCAAACTTGTGATCCTCCTGCCTCAGCCTCCTAGGGATTACAAGCGTCGCCATTATGCCCAGCTGTGCTAGTTACTCTTCACACTTGTAGTGAACACCACTTTCTCTTTAGAAGTAACACCACGTCTAGCCAACTATTATTATTTAAAATTTTTTTTCAGTACTGAGATTGAACCCGGGATTTCACACATGGTAAGCAAGCACTCTATCACTGAGCTACAGCCCCAGGCCTCTATAAATCACTTATAAGCACTTAGCTAAGTGTCCTTAAAGACTGAAAAACAAACTCCTCAGGCCGACTGATGATTGATTAAAATATTAAACTAAAATACGGCTATGCAGCTCCGATGCAACTGTCTTGTAAATCTCCCCTCTCAACCAAGGGACCCCTGTTATGCTCCTTTCGGCCTTGCTGAGGTGCAGATGCATCTCACATGTGCTCCAGGAAATGGAGGCGGTGATGCGAGCCCAGGAAGGTCCCTTCTGGCTCGGGCATCCCCCTGCATGGCCTCCCATGCCCTACTAGGACCTACACTGTGCTCACTCTTTAGGGAGTTAGGCTACGTGGCTCTGCTCTCGAGAACAGGCACCCACTGAAGCCCACAGCTGCATCTACCACTTGGCCATCAAGGGGGATGAAGGCATTGATCTCCTTATGTCCAAAACTGCTGGGTGGAGGGGGCAGAAGGGGTACAGAGAAGATAAGGTCCAGTTTTATTAGAAAGACAAACATTCAATGAGCATTACAGCAACGTGTCATGGTTTTGACAGAGACAGTGGCGAAGGAGACAGGACATCCCGCACTTGTTTACGGCATTTGATAGGCTTGCTCCCCTCCAACCCTACATTACTAATCCCAGGTTACAGCTGAGGAAAGGAAGAATGCGATTACATAATCTGGCGAAGGCCACTTAAGCAGTGGAGACGGATCTACGATGAACTTGCAGACACATCACTTGCTACGCCTACAGCCACGGTGTTGCGGGATCTTACAGCAGAGATGAACTGAGTTTAGCCAGATTAGACTGAATCTAATTACAAGTAACAAAATCTGAGTTGTCAGGGAATACTTCCTGCAGACTGACATCTAGGCTGACACCTAATAAAACGGTTAGCCAAATAACCTCTAGGAACTACAAACTGTTCAAGGTCTCTACTGACAGTAAAGAGCTTACTTGAAACAATCAGAAATAAACTAGCTTGCAGGCCTGAAGAATGTCACAGCACCCCCAAGAGCTTGTTAGTGCCTGAGGACGCAGCCAGTGCAGGGTGAGCAGGATTATCAGAGCCAGGCACCCGGGGTCTGCAGATGCACACAGGAAGAGTGCTTCTCCCTAGGTGGAGTGAGACAAGAGGCTGGGGCTGCAGCTCAGGGTACAGCACATGCCTAGCATGTCCAAGGCCCTGGGTTCTACTTCCTGCACTGTGAAAAAGAAGGGAAGAAGGGGGGAGGAGGATAGGGAAGGGGGAGGGCAGAAGGAGAAGAAACATCATGTTGCTAAATCAACATGATACAATCTTTCTTACAAGCTTTATATTAGTCATCATTTTAAGGTTTAGCAACATTCTGGAATATCTATTTCACTTCTCCTACAAAGCAGAAAGGTTCTTTTTTTTTTGTACCGGGGATCGAACTTGGGACCTTGCGCTTGTGAGCAGGCGGTGGCACCACTGAGCTAAATCCCCGGCCACTGAAAGGTTCTTGATATATGGGACCACACCAAAGTCTCCTATTTTTTTTTTTTTTTTGGTACCTCAGATCGAACTGGGGACCTTGTGCTTGAGCTGCAGGCATCAGAATCACTGAGCTAAATCCCGGCCCTAAAGTCTCCTATTTTAAGACTCTTTTCTTTCAGTATAGCTAAAGACAGACAGACAGACAGACACACACACACACACACAAGCACGCACCCATGCAATGTGGGGTCTGAATCCAGTCACAGCCCGTGCATGTGAGGCAAGTGCTCTACCACGGCTCCATTTTTCATGATCTCCCCCAAGAAGCAGAAGGTAGTGTAGCAGAGGCGCTCCACACACTCCCACGGATTAACGAAGAACAACTCTACATCCCCTGGCCCATGGGCACCAAGAAGCAGCAGATGAGGGCATGATTTAGGCTCCCTGTGCTACAGCCTCTTTCTCACTCACAGCCCGCTGCCAGTGACCTTCAGAAAGTGTCGGCCCAGGGCCCGGGGCCTAAGGCCTTCGCCAAATAGCTGAGGGCTCAACTGGAGGGCAGTGAAGAACCTCCCAAGTACAAGGCAAGATGCAGGCCCAGAATGGGGACACTGTTGAGTTTCTATGAAGATGGGGCTGAGAGTAACGAATTCTGCTGGCAGGGGGAGGTCCTGCCACCTGGCTTCTCTCAGGCTTCTATTTTTAAACCTTTAAATGCAATTTTGAAAATGAACCAATTTCCCTGAAGTCAGGGAGTCTGGGCGCCCACTGGTGAAGGTGCAGGGCAGCAGTGGGCGTCTGTGTGGACAGCGTGGGTGGGAGCTGATGGGTGAGGACCCTGAGCATCAGGACGGTGGCGGGGCTGTGGGGGTTCGCTGCTCCCCACCTCCCCCTGCCCCTCCTCGTGACTCCTGTTTCCATCCCCAGCTCCTTCCCAGCACCACGAGCTCTGCCAGCGCTGCTCGAATTCTACAAAAATGGTGTCTTCTGAGTTTCCCTCATGCCAAAGGACCAAAGCTCTTCCTTACAAGACACGGCCCAGCTTCCCTCCCTTGCCTGCTCGCTCTGACTGTGGTCTAGCTCGAGAATGCCCTTTTGCACGGGTGCTCAGAGCGGAGAGGAGGGGTGCTTGCACGCTCAGCAGGCCAAGGTCCGGCCTCATCGGAGTCACCCAATTCTTTGAAAACAGCAGGAAGCAGCGTTTGGGACACCATCCACTGCCACTCCACGGGACTTTTGTTTGCAGATGCTGCTAGCAGCTGTGCACTCCCGTCCTCTGGCACGGTGCTTGGCAGCCACTGTACTCATGCATATACCATCCCACGCGCCTCACCTCCTTCCATTCAGTGCATCTTTTGGATCCCAGCATA